ATTAGTGACATTTTGAAAAATGATAAAGTATTGAATTTTATGCGTAGAAATATTTCTGATCGATTGGTGATCGAATTTTTGAAATTGATACAGCGGCAGCTGAGTTATTAACGTTTAAAATCTTTCATAATTTTGTTACATGTTCCATTTTTTGGTTTTCACAAAGTGTACCCCCATATAGAAATCACAGACGTAGTCCTACGTCAAAAAACAGTTTTAAAATTTGACCAACTCTCTTTTACTGCGTAGCTACTCAGATTTAGTCAGATGAGTGGAGTGACGGAAAAGCATTTAGATTGGGCTCCAAAAGAAGCTTCATCTGGAAGTTTCTTTTAGAAGCTTCTTTGAAAAGCTTTTTCTTTAGAAGCTTATTCTTGACGCTTATCGGTCACTTCGCTTCTCTGTCTAAAATAAAACACGGACAGGATAACAGGACAGAGTTGGTTGGAAATGCTAACTGTCGCATTAATGGCCCTTCGCTCATTTTCAACTTCTATTCAATTTTCAACCTGCCGTACTCTAACGGAACTATCCACCTACCCTCTTCTAAAGATCATTCTCTAGCTAATAAATCATCACACTAAAGCTTCATGTTAGCATTTCCAACCAACTCTGAAAATCGTTAACTTCGCGTATGAAGTAACATAAAAACACTTTGAACTACTTCAGTAGTTGTTCACTATTTAAGCAAACTACCGCAACTATAGGTGTGAACACTCAGCGTAGTGGCGTAGGGTGAAGCTCCATTACGAAACCTTCATTTTACCGGCAAATGATTTTCTTTCCAGACAGATCAGTGACATGAACGAAGGTGTCACTCTCACGGTTTTGGGTACCTAGCGAGACATGGGCTTCTTACTTGACGGTTTAATTCTTCCTTGATTGGTTTTCCGTCGATCTTGTATTACGTGCTGAGTACCAATGCTACCGACGCCAGGGAGGCTGCTCCCACACCTGGACCCTACCTATCGACCCATCAGCTTATGGACCGGGGACCAACGGCTTTACTTCCCTTTCGAAGGAAGGCGTGATCAGGGATTTTATGCCTCAGAAAACCCTGGCGATGCCGACTGGGATCGAACCCAGGCCCTTTTGGGGGTGAGAGGCAATCACGCTTACCACTACACCACCGGCGCCGCTTAACGGTTCTTTTTATTGTGGGGTGTCGTTCTTCAAGCTTAAGATTTATCTATTTTGATTTGTAGAGGAAAAAAATTAAGGAAAAACAAAATCATCTCACGCACCGCTAGTGCCAACTAGCGCACACTATGATTAGATGCACCAGTTTTTGGCCGCATTATTAACCATGACATAAAATAGACAATCGTACTATTTCATATTACATAGCAAACATAGAACTGTTTACATCACATTTGAGTATAAAGATCATATACATATTGCAATGGTGGTTAAAAAATCGTTTAACAAAATCTTCTATTTAAGCCATATGGCTAATAAAGTGACCCACTTAGAGAAGCACTATTTGGAAGTCAATTTTAAGCTGCTTAATTGAAGAATTATACATTAAAATTTAGTTTTTTTAACTTAATTCATGTTGATTTATTGAAAAACAGTCGCGTAGGGCCCAATTTATCCATAATATCTTGTTATTAAAGGGCGAACACGAAATTATTGCGACACATTCAACAGGGCATAACTTTTTTTACCATTGGGTAAAAATCAACCAAATTTTGCACACTTTCTCATTGATGTGTATTGTGTACATGCTGTCAAACTCGAAGTCGTGTTTTTCGATTCAATGAAAATGGAGGTGAACCAACGCGAGTTGAGAGAACAAATTCTTTCCAAACACCTGGAATTTCCTGACCTGTCGCATCGGCAGTTGGGAAAAATGTTGAACATTCACCATTCAACCGTCTCCAGAGTGTTGAAGCGGTTCCAGGAGCGGTTGACGTTGGACCATGGCAAAGGAGCTGGAAGAAAACCGGGACCGGAGAACAAAAAGACGGAGGGAAAGGTGAAGCGGACGATTAAAGCAAATCCCAACGTCTCAAGCCGTGATTTGGCTAAAAAGATCGGCATGTCGCAGAGCTACGTCCAGAATGCAAAGAAGAGAGCTGGACTACATACATACAAGGTACAGAACTTCCCAAACCGTGATGAGCGGCAACAATCGACGGCTAAAACTCGGGCACGGAAGCTCTACGAGAAGATGCTGACAAAATATGGCTGCTGTGTGATGGACGTATATAAAAGCCGATTTTAAGCAAATTCCGGGGTTGGAGTTTTTCACCGGCAGGAGCAAGTTCGATGTGGACGACAAATTTAAGAAGAAGAAAATGACGAAGTTTGCCTCCAAATATCTCATTTGGCAGGCCATCTGCTCTTGCGGACTGAGGAGTGAGCCTTTCGTGACAAAGGGCACAGTAAATGGCGAGATCTACAAATCTGAGTACCTCGAGAAGCGCCTTTTGCCGTTCTTGCAGTAGCACGACGAAGCTCCGCTATTTTGGCCAGATTTGGCATCATGCCACTATTCTAAAAGTGTCCTGGAGTGGTATGAGGCCAATTCTGTCCATTTTGTTCCAAAGGACATGAATCCGCCAAACTGTCCGGAGCTGCGCCCAGTGGAGCAGTACTGGACAATAATGAAGCGGGAACTTCGGAAGAGCAAGAAGACAGTCAAAGACGAGAAGGACATGTTAAGAAAAAAGAAAAAAAAAACTGAGAAACTGGTACCGGATGACACTGTGAAGACTTTGATGGAGGGCATCAAGCGAAAATGCGTTCAATTTCACACTCAAGGCTCCATCGATTAACTTTTCTTTTGATTTTGGTTTAATTCTAAACATTATAAGAAAATTGGCATGACATTTTCGGTGTCGCAATAATTTCGTGTTCGCCCTTTAGCTGAAATTCCCACTAAGGCAAAATACTGGAGCTAGTGTCAAAACTGGCTCATCTACCCTATTATTAATGGAACATTTTCGTAAATTGTGAAACCCGGTAGATCAACAAACTTTCTTCCTGCTTTCAATCAGACGTTTTCGCGCTCTCGTTGATTTATCAGATCAGATCGAAGATTCGTATACAATCGTCATAGTTCATTTAAGTAAACAAACTAACACTTCTTCCTTGTATGGCACCTTGGATTAGATGCCTAGGAACTAGTGTTAGGTAAAATAATGGTGTAAAATACTTAAAAATACTTAAGAATACTTAAGAGGGATTTCAAAATATTTAATTGGTTTGTTTAATTTCGAAAAATGAACCAACCGTTTTCTGAGGATAACGATATTTTTTTAGCGATCCCGCAGACATTCATCTTGATTTTTAAATCAAGTTTTTTATTATTATTATTTTGACACTACATTTATTAGTTGACAGCTCGCTCTTATACAAAGTCCCACCGAGGGGCGCTAAATTGGGTTTTTGTTTTTCAAATGTAATAGCACTTAGTTAAAATAGTTCCAGGGCACCCAAATTGATGGAATTGTGGATTTCGGTTCCAATTTTAATGCAGATTACGAATATGCATTTACATTAACACCCCTAAACAACCCAATTGACATTAGGTCTAAACCTTAGAGTGGGATACCCCGAGGCGCGATTATAGCAACAATCAATACGAAACTAACGATTTTAAATTGGCTCACCACTTTAGTAGCCTATTGGCATAGAGGTAACTCTAAGACTAGTAGGTCCCGAAGAAAATCATTATTATTTTTGGCTCACTCAGTACCAGAACAACGGTCCCAAGCAGTCCCAAGCTATTTCACTCACCCCTGCATGTTCTGCATGAATCCACACACCCCTGATGTTATCTGTCAAACTTTCATAGCGAATCAAAACAAACATAGTGTAGTAATAGAATTTCAACTAGAATAGGGTACGTTAATCGTTTGCTTGGGACCAATAGGCTACTAAAGTGGTGAGCCAATTTAAAATCGTTAGTTTCGTATTGATTGTTGCTATTGGTCCCAAGCAAACGATTAACGTACCCTATTCTAGTTGAAATTCTATTACTACACTATGTTTGTTTTGATTCGCTATGAAAGTTTGACAGATAACATCAGGGGTGTGTGGATTCATGCAGAACATGCAGGGGTGAGTGAAACAGCTTGGGACTGCTTGGGACCGTTGTTCTGGTACTGAGTGAGCCAAAAATAATAATGATTTTCTTCGGGACCCAGTGGTCTTAGAGTTACCTCTATGATTATAGTCCATTCTATGTGCGCGAGTATTGATGGTCCGAAAGTGAGGATAACAATAACAAACCAACATTTTTGGCTGAATCGACACACGAAAGGCCAATAAATTAGTGTAAAGTTGCAAATTAATACATCTTGCACGCACTCAACAAGGTAAAATTTAATCATCGTATCTCCCTACCCAGCCATATCTTTCACACTGGGAATTAACGGTTCGTTCGTTCCTTGTTTTTTCATTCATGAAACGTCAAGTCGAGCACGGAGTGCAATTGCGATGCACTTGTACAACCAGTGTGTGCATCTTCCATTCATCCATACGACGATCGTTCTAAACACAACGCAGTCGCTGGTGTAGTTTCGTCGTACTTTTCACTCGTCGTTGGTGTGCGTGAGTTGCGGTCCTCCAACGAGCAGAAACGAAACAGCAGCTCGTAACTGTCGGGCGTGAACGAGATAGCACTAGCAACAGTAGTTTGTTCACCAACAATCGCGCAATACTCGGCATCAGAGATGCCAGGCTTATTTTGAAAAAATCTGGCAAAACCCGAAAAAAATGTCTGGCAAAAATCTGGCACAGCAAATTAACATAGGAAGCTGCCAGATTTCTCAAAAAATCTGTCTGGCAGAGCTTAAATTTCTCTGGCTATGCCAGATAAATCTGGCAACCTGGCAACGCTGCTCGGCATCTCGTTTCTGCTCGCAGCGAGCAAGGTATGCTCTCTCACTTCACCCAATCAATCGTCGTCCGTCGGTGTCGGTGCTGCTGCGTTCCGTTCGTTCGTTCGCTCGGTCATTCCGTCCCATTGCCATTTCATTCATTCTGTTCAAATCGTTCGCCTTGGCCACGGTCGCGCGTCCGCGCTAGAAGAAAAAAAAATGCAGTGAAAAGTGCGAATTTTGGGCTCGTTTTCGCGTGAAAACTTTGGCACGTGCGCTACCGCCGTGCTCGGTGACTAGTGCATCGGTAGTTTGGTAAAAATTCCCATCGGATTGCAGTGCAAATGGTGATTTTCGATTGCAGTGTCTAGAAGAGGTGCCTGAAAAGCAGCACAATTTTTGGGATCATTTTTTTTCCACTGATTTTGCTCGCAAGGAAGGAGAGGAGGGCGCACACAGAAAAGAAGAAAATTTGTCTTCCTCCCGCACACACGCAACGGAGAGTGCGGATACGGTGTTGTTGTGCACGAGCATCACACACACGGCTCTTGCATAGTGGATAATGGGGCGGTGGTGTGGTTCGATCGCAATGTGCTGTTCGCTTCTAGCATAGAGCTGCGATAAAAGTGTGTAGCTTGGGAAAATTTAAAAAAAGGAATATTGTGATTGTGTTAGTGCAGGCGACGAAAATAACAGGAGGAAAAACTGAAGTGTTTTCGCGTTTATTCATATAAAAAAAAATCGACGTCTCTCTGTGGATGTGAGTGTTTTGATTGTGAAGCTAGTGTGCTTCATTTTCTCACGTTTCTTCGATGAGATGCGCTTTCACGCAAACTGATGAATGGATTTTGGATAGCTGGATGGATAATGATTCTTATAACTGGAAGTGGAATAGACTCAGGTAATTTACACATTTTTGGTAATTTTATTGCGTTTAAAACAAAAACTGTTGTGAAGGTACGATATTTTTCCTATCTAGTTTAGAATTGTTAAGATAGCATTGGTACTCAGTATGGAAAACAAGATGAACCGAAAACAAATAAAGGAAAAAAAAAATACATTCTATATGTTCAAAATATAGAAATATATTCCAGATCACACAATTTTCCCAATTTGTTTATCTAAGAGCTCTCAAATTCTAAGCAGTAATGGTCCAAACTCTAAAATTAATCCCTAAATCTCGATTACTTTCTCTAAGGGACGTATAAGCTTTTGTAAACAATGCACTTGATCGACGATTAGGCGTAACTGGTAGCTGCTCGTCTGCGTCCCAAAAAGGATACGTACTGAGTGAAGATGTATAAACTGACTTTCAATGTCTCCAGGCTTGTTTTTGATTTTCTTAATCACGGGATCCACCCAGTTTGCACCATAACACTCAAGGATTTCTCGATGAACATTTCAAATGGTCCTATCTGCTTTGATCGATTCTCTTCATCGACTTTCTCTTTTCATAACCACTGCTATGCAAACAGATTTCGCGCTAATTCTACCTCATAGTTTGATAAAGGAGGTTCTTATCTAGCGTCCAAAACGTCAAATACAACAGGGAAAGGTTTTGCAGCTGAGTTATTAACGAAAGAGAAAGTCGATGAAGAGAATCGATCAAAGCAGATAGGACCATTTGAAATGTTCATCGAGATTTCACCGATCTAATTCTGAACCGTACCGTATTGGACGACCAGATCTTCCTGGCATTTGGCATTTGGTGTGGATGAACTCGATTAAAGAGAAGCCCGAATAGATGCTGTTCTGGATGAGATTAAGTTCCGTCTGGATCTTCGCTGTGAATTGGATGAGACAGATTATGTTTTGCTTGATTCAAATAGATTCACGGTTCAGAGAATACCTACAGATTTTTTTTTTTTTTTTTTTAACAATCCTCGAAACCGGTTTTTTTGTTCTTAAGTTCTTGATTGAATCGTTGATTTACCACTTTTATGTATGACAACAAAGTCTCTGTCTATGGCTTCACTTTTGAGTGAACAAAGTATTCAACGGAGTAGTTAACGATTGACAAAACGTCAACACTCAACAGTGATGCCGTTTTATATTATATTTTTTGAGTCCTACTTGTCAAAGTGAGCCCTAACGTATCAAACAGTGTGCCATGCTGTGTTTCGGCACAGTGTGCAGAGTTGATTACCCCTCACTGAGGCAAATAGACACAACATATATGAATTTCATAAGCGTGACTCATGATTGATTTTCGGGTAACATGAGGTAGCTCTTATACGCCTTTAACCATTTCATTTTCCCAAGCGTTGAAAGACGAGTGGTCAACACACGGGCCCCTCAAACTCAACGTCCATTTTCCGTTTCCAGTCTGCTCCGATTTATTATTTTTTTTGTCAACATTATTTTTCATAAGGCAAATCAATGAAATTCACCCAGGGCTGGTAGCGAGTCACTTTTTAGTGACTTGGTCACTTTTTTCAAGCCAGTCACTAAAAACTCTCTTTTTTAAAGGCCAAGTCACTAAAGTCACTTTTTATTGTAATAAGTTACTATTTTAAACTTTTTTAATCGTGAATTTATTTCAAGATTGATTATTTTTCTGAATAGGCCAACATTTTGTTCTAAAGGGCGAACACGAAATTATTGCGACACATTCAACAGGGCATAACTTTTTTACCATTGGGTAAAAATCATCCAAATTTTGCACACTTTCTCATTGATGTGTATTGTGTACATGCTGTCAAACTCGAAGTCGTGTTTTTCGATTCAACGAAAATGGAGGTGAACCAACGCGAGTTGAGAGAACAAATTCTTTCCAAACACCTGGAATTTCCTGACCTGTCGCACCGGCAGTTGGGAAAAATGTTGAACATTCACCATTCAACCGTCTCCAGAGTGTTGAAGCGGTTCCAGGAGTGGTTGACGTTGGACCACGGCAAAGGAGCTGGAAGAAAACCGGGACCGGAGAACAAAAAGACGGAGGGAAAGGTGAAGCGGATGATTAAAGCAAATCCCAACGTCTCAAGCCGTGATTTGGCTAAAAAGATCGGCATGTCGCAGAGCTACGTCCAGAATGCAAAGAAGAGAGCTGGACTACATACATACAAGGTACAGAACTTCCCAAACCGCGATCAGCGGCAACAATCGACGGCTAAAACTCGGGCACGGAAGCTCTACGAGAAGATGCTGACAAAATATGGCTGCTGTATGATGGACGACGAAACGTATATAAAAGCCGATTTTAAGCAAATTCCGGGGTTGGAGTTTTTCACCGGCAAGAGCAAGTTCGATGTGGACGACAAATTTAAGAAGAAGAAAATGTCGAAGTTCGCCTCCAAATATCTCATTTGGCAGGCCATCTGCTCTTGCGGACTGAGGTGTGAGCCTTTCGTGACAAAGGGCACAGTAAATGGCGAGATCTACAAATCTGAGTGCCTCGAGAAGCGCCTTTTGCCGTTCTTGCAGCAGCACCACGAAGCTCCGCTATTTTGGCCAGATTTGGCATCATGCCACTATTCTAAAAGTGTCCTGGAGTGGTATGAGGCCAATTCTGTCCATTTTGTTCCAAAGGACATGAATCCGCCAAACTGTCCGGAGCGAGGGGCAATTCACTGCCCTCAAAAATGAATCAAAAATACGTGAATGAAAAAAATACACAAAAATTCATCATTACTCGTCATTACTCAAAAAAATGCAAAAAAAAATACAAAATTCGGAAAAAAATACACAAATATTCGACGAATAATAAAAATACACGATAATTCGTCATTTGCACGAAAAATTCGAAATATGTACAATCTAAATGCTGAATTCGAACAAAATGCGTAAATTTATTATTTTATATTTTAATCCGAGCTCGAATCACAAAACAATGCATCAATGAGTAGGATTTCACCCATTTTTAAGAAAAGTGCTTCAAATCGTTTATTGAATAAAAAAAACATTAATAAGTAGTTGTGACCCACAAATAAGTAACGAATGCGAAACAAATGCTTATTAATGCGAGCGAGGTAAGGGGTTGTTCATAAAGTAGGGGGGGGGAGTTGGCAATTATCCACGGCCCATACAAATTTTTAAAATTTTGTATGGACAATTGTCAACGTAGAGGGGTGGGGGGGGGGTCTTCAAGAATCCCAAAAAACTGCCTACTTATTAATGAAGAGCCCCTAATGAGTTTATGAGTTAAGCCTCTTTTCATTAAATTGGGTGAAATTCTACTCATCAGTGGGTATTTTAAAGTTAGCGTGTGCTGTGCATTTGTCAAACAAAACGTCAACATTGTGAGTTTGATCCGTTTGACACTCGGTTCGAGTGGTAAACATAAACACTAAAATGACAGAATACACTTATAACTGATTTTCAATACATTAATACAGAAAAATACACTTTTATTTTTCTAATACTCATAAAATTACATATATTCAAAAAGTGCAAAATAATACATTATTACGCAAAATACACGTTTATTCGATAAAAAAATACTTCAATACGTTCATCAATACGTTGGCCTGAATCGAAAATACACAAGTGAATCGCCCCTCGGTCCGGAGCTGCGCCCGGTGGAGCAGTACTGGGCAATAATGAAGCGGGAACTTCGGAAGAGCAAGAAGACAGTCAAAGACGAGAATGACATGTTAAGAAAATGGAAAAAAAAACTGAGAAACTGGTACCGGATGACACTGTAAAGACTTTGATGGAGGGCATCAAGCGAAAATGCGTTCAATTTTACACTCAAGGCTCCATCGATTAACTTTTCTTTTGATTTTTGAAGTAAATATATGTATAAAACTATCCTAAAATTTTGGTTTGATTCTAAACATTATAAGAAAATTGGCATGACATTTTCGGTGTCGCAATAATTTCGTGTTCGCCCTTTATTTTCTGAACAATTCGAAGTTGAAGACCTTGTAAAGAGTTTTTTTTTACGTTTAATCGTTCTTCTCTATCTACAGGGTGTCCACTCATTTGGCTAAATAAAGTTCCCTGAGTTTTCCAGGTTTTTCCATAACTTTGGCGGATAATTTCCAGGTTTATAATAAGAATGCTATTTATGAAATGCGTTAAAAATATGTTTTTAACGCAAAAGTTTTTAAGACATGACAATCAGTTTTAAAGACACAGATTTACTATCAAATCCATTAAATATTGAAGTTGAACACTTACTTCATTTTGGTAAGTCTAAGATCACAACATTTTTAATGTTTTGACGTTTCGTACTAACAAAAATATGGAAACTTTAATGAAGTTCTATTGATCTCAGAAAAGCTAGATCTAGAGATCTTTGGGGTATTCCAGAGATCTTATGGAGAAGTCCCCGAAACTTTAGCCCAGACTATTGAATTGGTTTGCTAATCTATAAGTGTGAGTTAAGACACTTAATATACAGTACAGTATAGTTCCATGATGTGCTGAAATAAAATCGAGAACCCATAAGATGTTCCGAAACATTCAGTACAGAGGAAATATTTCAGGAACTTAACAGAAATCCAGAGAATTCCAGTGAAGTTTAAATGTGTTTACGAGAATTCCATTTATTTTAAAGCAGAACCGAGATCTTCATTAGAGTTGAAAGTTTTAGGATAGCTCCGAGAACATCAAGACAAATCAGAGAATTGAAGGGCAGTTCAAAAAATTTCAAGGAAATTACAGAAACCAGAACTTCCGGAAACTTTGGTTTGCCCAGAGAAAATTTCTGGAACGCAATAAAAATTATATGAACATTCGGAAAATGAGAGTATTTCAAGGATGTTACATCATGGAAATTTCAAGATTTAAAAAAAATCGAAAATTTAGCTGTAACATCAGAAAATGTGATTAACTAAATTAACTTAAGGAAGTTAGCAGCGACTTACAAAAAGTTCCCTTAGAATTATTGGATATTTCGAGAATTCTATGATTGATCCGAAAACTTTAGAAGCTTCAGGGAATTATAAATATATAGGG